CAGGGTCTCTGTATATAGCCCAGGATGGCCTTTAACTCGATTTGTGGCCCAGGCTGACACCCAACGTGATTCTCCTGTCTCAGCCACCGGAGTGTAGATACTTACCTTGCTAAATCTGTGGAACTGTTTGAGGTGGCAATAATATTTCCACTTCACATATGAAAATTAGTGCATTAAGTGTAGAATACAGAAAGGGATTCGGAATTGGAGCACATTAGAACATCCATCTTGTAAATCTGTTCACACATACGACCCTAATGAAAGGTTGTATTAATCTAGTTTTTACCCTGAAATATTTACATGTTAACTCTACCACTGAGCCACCTCTAGCACCTACACTGTTTTGTCAACAAAAATGCAATGTCCGTGTAGCAAACTATTGAGCGGATCCTTTTTTAAAATTTCATTTAAAAATTACGTCTGTGTGAAACTAACAATGACCTTAAAAAAAGAAAAAAAAGGCAAACAGATTCCTTACATTTAAGTATATTCTGGTGTACGCCATATCTATTTCACAAGCAATGACTTTTTTTTCAACTCTTCCCTCAAAAAAATCTCATGCAACCTACACAGATCGCAGCCCACCTCAACAAGCCGAGTTTGTTCTTAACTGGGTGAATGTGCAAAACTGCCAATCTTCATCACTGGTCCATCTAGTGACAACACAGAGAGATGCCCATCTCAGGCTCTACTATGTTCCTCTACTGATTTAAGGCTAGTGGTGTACAGTACGTTTTCGTGTGGGTACCCTACTCAGAAAGCAAACGCCTGCTATGGAAGGGCCGCGGAAGCTCTCGCTAGTCCTTTTAGTCTCAGGTTGAGGCTCTGACACTCAGGAAGCTTCTGTTTAATGTGCAGAACCCTAGGCTTTTCAGCTCCCGCACTGATCCTAGGTCCACCCAGTACGCGCTAGCTCCCGCATTAACCCAGGTCTGTCTGCAAACTCACAGTCCTACATGGACCCAGGGCTGTCAGCTAATGCCTAGCTCCCGCACTGACCCCAGGTCTGGCCCGCACGCGCCAGCTCCCGCACTGACCTAGGTGTCTCTGCAAACGCCCAGCTCCCGTCTGCTCCGAGCGCGCTCACCTCCCGCACCGACCCTCCCCGCGCGGCCGACCCGCACTCTCCCGTCAAGGGCACCGGTGTCAGCCCCCGCCCCCCAAGTGCGGGACGCTCGGTACCTGCGCGGCGTGTTCAGCAGCCTCTGCTGCTCGTCGCCCTCGTCCTCGTCTTCGTCTGTCTCGGAGTCCGGGTGACAATAGCAGAATGTGCCGCTGCTGCGCTTGCGTTTGCGGCCACCCGGACAGTAACGGAAGCTGTGGGCCGCATCCTCCCCCGCGTCCGACCCGCGGGCCGCGCCCCCAGCACCGGGCGTGGGTTCCGGCTGCTCTGTGCGCCCTGCGGGCCGCAGCACCCGGCTGCTCAGAGCGCCCATAGCTCCGGCGCCTAGGGAGCACCGAAGGGCCGCCTCGCCATGCCCGTCGCTCCACCGCCTACTCCGCCGCTGCCTCGCGCGCAGCCCCAACCGTCGCCGCGAACGCAGTCACCTCCATCCTCAGCCCCGCCCGTCGTGCCTTAGCCGACCGGCTTCGCAAGACCTCGCCCCCTCGTTCTCGCAACAAAGCGCGCGCCACAGAGCGCATGCGTACGGCGAGCCTCCGGAAGGGGCGGGGCGGCTGGCAGGGGTCTGGAGCCTGCTCTGTCGGTTGCGCAGGCGCAGGCTGCTGGCGTAGCCCCGCTGAGCTCAGTAGGTGTAATACTTCGGCGGTTCCGGGGTTAACCGAGGGGTGTGAGCACTGTGTGCTTGTGCTTAACAGATCTGGGGATCTCTGTCGTTGGTTCTTCCCGTAAGATTCCTCGATTCTGGGGTCTTATCCAGCCCTGTGCGGTTAATGAGAGGACAGACTTGTCACCATGGCCTTTGCTTCCCTTCCGGGCTCTAGGACCCGACTGGCCCGGATAGATACCCATCACCCAGCTGGGTTGACAGGGTTCAGTCTGGAGCCTCAGCTAGCCTCCAGGTCCTGACCTCCTTCTGCTGCCTTGTTTTGATTTATTATTATTTTATTGTGTCAATGTCTTGTACTACATACTGACCTTTGACTCACTGTATAGGATGATCTAGAACTTCTGATTTCCCGTGTCTAACCCTTGAAAGCTGGGATTACTGGCATGTGTCACATCACCCTTGTGGACCTGAAATGCTGAGTATGAGACTAAGGGCTTCCTGAATGTTAACTAAGCAAGTATTCTACCAACTGAGCTACATTTCTAGCCCTCGATTTTTTTATTTTTTTCAAAGAAGAGTGTCACTCTGAAGCCCAGGCTGCCCTGGGACT